ACAACGAAAGTCTTAGATATAATGTTTTATAGTATGGTTTAGGGTTAGGCTACAACGCTCAAAAATGTATAAGTGTCATCAGTAAACAAATCATATCTTCTGTGGATCGTTAAATGCAACTTTCATCAATCTTTGATTTAATTGAAGAAGTTTGTACCACTCTTTGTTCTCGTTGTACAAGTTTGAATAACGTTTGATTTTGTTAAACGAAATTCACAACGCTTTACGATTCCTCTGAGGAACATTCCGTTGTTATTCTTTGCAAATAATTAGTTTCCGTTTTTGTTTTCGTTGTGAGAGTTGCATCACTTTTATCACATCAATCTTTATTTTTCTGTTGTTGGTCGTTGTAGAAATTTGCATGATTCTTTATTTTCGTTGCAAAAAAACAACAACAACAAAAACATCTATCGCTCTTTTTCTGATCGTTGCAGAAATATTTCACTTCTCTTTCTTTTTCGTTCAATGTTACATATTATTCCAGCATATTTTAAACTCCGTCTTCTTGTTCAGACACGTTTCATATTTCTTTGATTTTTCGTTCAATGTTGCAACAGCTCCAACAGCGTGTTTTAACAGGTGATATTCCATGAACACTAAGATCAGTGTCAAAAGCCGTCCCACGTGCCCCAGTCAACAATAAGCAGCACAAGTCACGTGTACAAAAGTTGCTTCCGTGATATATCCTTTCAACTATGAAACGGGTATTCATGCTACTCCAGACGAAGCGCCTATGGATATCATTGTGATCGGACTGTTGTAACGGCCATTACGAAATTGTCGCCCTGGTAAATTAGAGGACTATGGAAAGCATGCAAAGATCGGTGGTATGCTTTTGACATGACAGTCTTATGACAGAGTCCTTTGAAATGGAAACTACATTTAGAGCTATGGTCAAGATATAATGTCATCAGATACAACATGATCGGACGAGGCGACATGAACTCTAACGACGTAATAAGATCAAAATTATTTTAAAATAACGTACTGAACGTCTGTAAACTCAATCAGTTACTGCCACAGAATGATTTGAGTTGTTGGACGAAACATCACGAAATTATATCAAAGTCGAACTTATATTATTCGTCAGAAATGTTTTGTAATTCTGAAAGTTTGATCAATATGAGTTAAAATATAAGTAATATCCTTATTACTTAGAATAAGATAGATACAAATTACTATGTTTAGTTTTAAGCTACAACGTTGTGTGGATTACTCACGTCTAATAATGAGCCGGGTGTGACCTAGTGGTTAGCATGCCGGAATATGATTTAAAGGGCCCATGCTTTAAATCCTGTTGCTTCAACAGAAAACTTGCGATTTTTTGGTGTGTTATAAAAGTGAAGGTCAAATCCCACTATTTGATTAGATTAACCGAATAGTTGGCGGTTGGCGTTGTTGTCTCTCTTCCCTCTATTTTATCAGTTTAGAATTCGGAACGACTATCACAGATAATTCTTACGTATCTTTGCGGAAAAACTATAAACAAATTGACTCGTTATCAAAATGGTGGATATAATCTTTTTATATGGTAGATGGCGCTTTTGTCTGTTGCTCCTTTGCAAAGAATAAAAATATGTAGTTTTAAACTTTCTCATTAGTTAATTTAATATTAAATTATTATTTTTCACTTGTTCATTATTCTTTGGAGTTAAGATGTATTTCAGAGCTGAAGTTGAAGAGTGAAAAATATTTGTACCTGGTAACATCATGCGTTATTTTATTAAATAATAACATAAATGGAGATTCAAACTCATCCTACTCGATTTACGAGTAGCTATAAGACTTCAAAAAGTCCCTTCTGTTAAGTATATTTGAATAATATTTTAAAGATTTTGAAATGGAAGAAAACTGTAAGAAATTTCTCGCTCGAATCGATTGGCGACCACTGCTTACGAGATTATAACTAAACATTTTGTACTGCAAGTGCTAAGCCTTCCGCCCAAAAGAACAGCATTAAAAGTTAAGAGAAAACGTGGAAATGCAGAATTATTTTCCTATAACAGTATTTTCTCCCTTCAAACAAAAAATAACAAGTTTGTATAATATTCGAGAAAATCGTTTTGGAGTTAGCTATTTTGTTGAATGCTAGAGTTAAGCCTAATTTTCGCAACTTTATTAACTACTTTGAAATAGCTTACGCTGCAAAACGCGTTTTCAATATTTGACAACTTTAACTTCTTTTGAAAAAAACATTTTTTTTTCGCTTTAATCGTTCTTATAAAACTAAATTGTATCTGTGAAACACACATTTACGACTTCCGTTAGTTAAATAAAGATTTACTAAAATGTTTCTAAATGTTATTTATTACTTTAATATTTACAAATTAAATAAAATAAATTCCGATATATTGTATTATGTTCTGATAGTTTTTCAAATATTAATTAAATCCAAAATAGTTACAAAAAGTACATACACACTAAAGAAACAAGCCTAAACCTCTAAAAATATAATTTAAATTCAAAAATAAAGCCCCCCCCCCCAGTAACACAGCGGTATGTCTGCGGACTTACAACGCTAGAATCTTGATTTCGATACCCGTGGTGGGCAGAGCACAGATAGCCCATCGTGTAGCTTTGTGCTTAACTTAAAACAAACAAACAAAACAAAAAGTAAAACGTAAAACTGTATCATGTATTACACTACGGGTGATACTGACAACTTCTGAAGACTTGTTATGGCCTGGTGGTTAAGGCTCTCAACTCACAATCTGCGGGTCGCAACTTCGAACCCCACCAAATTTCAGCCGTGGGGGTGTTACAATATGACTGTCAATTCCATTTTCGTTGGTAAAGAGTAGTCCAAGAGTTGGCGGTGGGTACTGCTGACCAGCTGCCTTATCTCTAGTCTATCACTGCTAAATTGGGGGACAGCTAGCGCAGCTAGCCCTCGAAAAATAAACAAAGTAACCCTTCGAAATGTAGATAGGTTGAGTGACCTCTGACCTCATTACTTTACAAAGTGGATAAGTTTCATTTTTCACTTACTGCTGATTGGCTTTAAAAGATGCTCACTGGTGACGTACAACGATTAGGTGGTGCATTTTTAGAGAGCAAATAACGGTAGGCAGTTGAAAAGGTTATAAACAATCACCTTATTTATTGCTTGTTTGTTTTTGAATTTCGCACAAAGCTACACGAGGGCTATCTGCGCTAACCGTCCCTAATTTAGCAGTGTAAGACTAGAGGGAAGGCAGCTAGTCATCACCACCCACCGCCAACTCTTGGGGCTACTCTTTTACCACGAATAGTAGGATTGACCGTCACATTATAACGCCCCCAAGGCTGAAAGGGCTAGCATGTTTGGTGGGACGGGGATTCGAACCCGCGATCCTCAGATTCCGAGTCAAGCGCCCTAACCACCTGGCCATGCCGGGCCTATTATTTATTGCACCTCAGAAATTATTTTTTTATCCGCTTAAATTATTTAATGAAAACAGATTTCGGCAAAACCAGATACAGCTCTAAGTTCACAATTATGGTTTGTGACCAAATAAAATAATAATAATTAAACTTACGATAATAAACCACACTTAACTTTAGTTTGTTACTCGTTATTAATTTTTATAGCTATTCTTGAATTATGAGAAACATAAACTAAAAGTTATAATTTCTTCTTTTCAGTTGAGTCTTCAAATATTTTATTCATTTATAACATTCATTAAAATACTTTATACAAAGAACGAGGTCACGGAAAATGATGCTGAATGAAAGTAATGAATTATTCATTTCTTAGTTTTCAAACAGCATGGTTAACAGTTTATTAGGGCGCTAGAAATACGGTAATTTCTTGTTTTGAGAGAACTTACACTACAGGTATTTAATAATTCAAAGGCTAAGCCTATTTCTTTTTTGTCTTTTTACATATATTTTCGCTTTAATGGGTGGACTTATATGTGGTAAGAGTTGTTACATAAGATCCGATGTTCATACTGTAACATAATTAAATTAATCAACGTCGATATGTACTTTCAGAACAACTTTTAAAAGTTGTTGATTTTTTTAGTCTGACATTACCAATACTTGAAGTGGTATCTTTCATTATCAGACGTAGTAAGGTAAAATTTAATAATTCTAAATTAAAGGATTTTTAAAAA